TCAGGTTTGGGAATCTTCCTCACATCCTCAGCCATGAAGACCGATGCAGAGAATTCATTTAGTTTCTCTGCAATGGCCTTATCATCCTTGAATGCTACTTTAGCATCTCACTGGTTGTTTAGCAGGCTTCCTGCTTCTGATGCACTTAAAAAAAATTTGCTATTACTTTTTGAGTCTTTGGCTAGCTGTTCTTCAAATTCTTTTTTGGCCTTCCTAATTGTATTTTTACACTTAATTTGCTAGAGTTTATGCGCCTTTCTATTTTCCTCACTAGGATTTAACTTCCACTCTTTAAAGGATGCCTTTTTGCCTCTCACTGCTTCTTTTACTTTGTTGTTTAGCCACAGTGACACTTTTTTGGTTCTCTTATTTTGTTTTTTAATTTGGGGTATACATTTAAGTTGAACCTCTATTATGGTGTCTTTAAAAAGTTTCTGTGCAGCTTGCAGGGATTTTACTTTTGGTACTGTACCTTTTAATTTCTCTTTAATTAACCTCCTCATTTTTGTTCAGTTCCCCTTTCTGAAATTAAATGCTACAGTGTTGGGCTGCTGTGGTGTTTTCCCTGCCACAGGGATGTTAAATTTAATTATATTATGGTCACTATTACCAAGCGGTCCGGCTATGGTGTAAATCCTGTGTTCCACTTAGGACTAAATCAAGAATTGCCTCTCCTCTTGTGGGTTCCAGGACTAGCTGCTCCAAGAAGTTGTCATTTAAGGTGTCAAGAAACTTTATCTCTGCGTCCTGTCCTGACATGACATGTACCCAGTCAATATGGGGATAGTTGAAATCCCCCATTATTATTGAGATTTTTATTTTAATAGCCTCTCTAATCTCCCTGAGTATTTCACAGTCACTATCACCATCCTGGTCAGGTGGTCGATAATATATCCCTACAGTTATATTCTTACTATCCATAGAGATTCTATGGTACAGTTTGGTTCATTTAAGATTTTTACTTCATTTGATTCTATGCTTTCTTTCACATATAGTGCCACTCCCCCACCAGCACGACCTGTTCTGTCCTTCCAATATATTTTGTATCCTGGTATTACTGTGTCCCATTGATTATCCTCACTCCACCAAGTTTCTGTGATGCCTATTATATCAATATCCTCATTTAAAATGAGGCACTCTAGTTCACCCATCTTATTAGTTAGACTTCTAGCACTGGTATATAAGCACTTTAAAAACTTGTCACTTTTTAGCTGTCTGTCATTATGTGGTGTAATTGAATGGGACTCTTTTTCATTCGACTGTTTCTCATCAGATCCTACCTGTATTTCATCATCTTCCATCCTCTCCTCCTTACTAGGACATAGAGTATATCCATTAATAGATCCTCCTCTAAGGGATGTCTCTGCCCAAACCACATGCTCCTCCAGACCTGTTGGCTTTCCCCCAGCCCTTAATTTAAAAACTGCTCTATGACCTTTTTAAGTGCCAGCAATCTGGTTCCATTTTGGTTTAGGTGGAGCCCATCCTTCCTGTATAGGCTCCCCCTTTCCCAAAAGTTGCCCCAGTTCCTAATAAATCTAAACCCCTCCTCCCAACACCATAGTCTCATCCACACATTGAGACCCTGCAGTTCTGCCTGTCTAACTGGTCCTGCGTGTGGAACTGGAAGCATTTCAGAGAATGCTACCATGCAGATCCTGGACTTCAATCTCTTACCTAGCAGCCTAAATTTGGCCTCCAGGACCTCTCTCCTATCCTTCCCTATGTCACCGGTACCAAATATACCACAACCACCGGCTCCTCCCCAGCACTACACATAAGTCTGTCTAGATGTCTTGAGAGATCCGCAACCTTCACATCAGGCAGGCAAGTCACCATGTGGTTCTCCCGGTCATCGCAAACCCAGCTGTCTATGTTTCTAATGATTGAATCCCCCATAACTAATACCTGTCTCTTCCTAATAACTGGAATTCCCTCCCCTGGAGAAGTATCCTCAGTGCGAGAGGATACCACAACATCATCTGGAAGGAGGGTCCCAACTATGGGATCATTTCCCTCTGCTCCAGTTGGATGTTCTCCTTCCCTGGGACTTTCATCCTCCTCAACAGCACAGAGGCTATCAGACCGGAGGTGGGACCGTTCTACTGTGTCCCGGAAAGTCTCATCTATGTACCTTTCTGTCTCCCTCAGCTCCTCCAGCTCAGCCACCATAGTCTCCAAAGCCCATACACAGTCTCTGAGGGCCAGGAGCTCCTTGCACCGAATGCACACATACTCCACCTGCCCATAGAGCAGGTAATCATACATGCTGCATTGGGTGCAATGAACTGGATAGCTCCCACTCTGTTGCTGGACTTCTGCCTGCATTATCTTTTTACTCCTAAAGCTCGTTTCTCTGTTGTTGTTTTGATTTTATCGGGGGGGGGGGGGGTTGGCTTTAAGTTTAAAGAATGTTAAGTGTATCTAGCCCCCTGGCTCTCACTCCCTTGCAAAACTCCCGTGTTAGCCGCTCCTGTTCACTAGCTCCTCTGGTTGCTTAGGAGCAGGCTTTTTAAAGCACTGGTCTTCCTGAGCAGTCCCATCCCCTGATTAAGGGTTGATGGTTGCTACAGGGCTTAGGGATCAAAGCCTCATTAAGAAGCTCTCAGCCTTGCCTAGCAGGCCGCTAGGCTCAGCACACGGTCCCCCAAACAAACAGACCCCACGGTATATTTCAGTCAAGCAGCAAACACACCACAAACACACACGCTACAGACAACAAACTTACCCCAAAGGTCACGTAATTGCTCCTCCTTCACCTGGAGAACTCTCTCACGAAACTCCCGTTAGCCGCTCCTGCTCACTAGCTGAAGAAGGAAATATCATTTACTCCTTAACATAACATAAGAACCCAGGTCACCCAATGAAATTTATAGGCAGTAGGTTTAAAACAAACAAAAGGAAGTACTTCTTCACACAATGGAGAGTTAACCTGTGGAACTCATTGCCAAGGGATGTTGTGAAGGCCAAAACTATAATGGGGTTAAAAAAATAATTAGATAAGTTAATGGAGGATAGATCCATCAATGGCTATTAGCCAAGATAGTCAGGGATGCAGCCCCATGCTCTGGGTGTCCTTGGCCTCTGACTGCCAGAAGCTGGGAGTGGATGGCAGGATGGATCACTCAATGATTGCCTGTTCTGTTCATTTCCTCTGGGGCACCTGGCATTGGCCACTGTTGAAAGACAGGATACTGGGCTAGATGGACCATTGTTCTCACCCAATATGGCCGTTCTTATGTTCTTACATTTGCCAGTGGGTTTCACAGATGTTTGTTGACAGCAGACAAATGGTGAGGAATCTTGGGTTCCATTCCAGCTCTGGAAGGGAGTGTGCTCTAGTGGGCACAGATTCTTCTGCCCATTTCCCCACAAGCTTCACCCTATTCTTCCCCCTCTTCTCCAAACTGTCCCAGCCTCTCCTATAACTGTAATAATGACTGGCCTAGACAAAATAAATCAGAAACTTCTGTTCTCCCTGTCACCTAACACAAGAACAATGAGACATTCAATGGCACTGAAAGGTGGCAAATTAAAAACCAATACAAGGAAATATTTTTTCACACAACATGTGATTAGACCATGGAATTTATTGACAGAGGTAGTTGTTGAAGCCAAGCATTAGCAAGATTCAAAGAGGGACTGGACATTTATATGGATAACAAAAATATCCAGTTATAACAGTAAAGTCTACAAAAAATTGGAAGGAACATAACACTTCCCTGTTTCAGGGCTTAAACCATCCCTGGGGGCAGATTATCTCACATTTGCCTCTTGCAGTTTTCTTACCCCTGCCTCTGAAGTGTCTGTTTCTGGCCACTGTCAAAGGCAAGGATGGCAGACTAGATGGCCTACTGGGCTGATCCAGTCTGGCAAGCTCTGTGACCCTGCAAACACATTTTCAATTCATAATCAAACACATAGGGCGATAATTTAGAACCCAAGGCCACAGATTGGGTACTGCTGTGGTAGGGGGTACTGTGCTGGTAGTGCTGTGGGTAAGCCATAGGGCTCACTCTGTTCTCTAATCAGTAATGATCTCAATGCCCCAGTGTAATTCTAGGGGCCACTGTGCTGCAGGGAGTGGTGTGGGTTACTCAGTAGGGGACATTCTCCCCTTGGAGTTAGTACTGGCCCCATTGCCTCAGCATGATGCTGCTGGAGGTTAAGTCTTTCACAAAACATTTTTCTTGAGTCCTTGTAGTCCAAAGATACCCTATCCCTTTGCCCAAGTCAGGGCGTTAACCCTCATACTCAAATCCCAACTCAGATTATTTTAGTCTCAATCATAGAATCATAGAAGATAGGGTTGGAAGAGACCTCAGGAGGTCATCTAGTCCAACCACTTGCTTAAAGCAGGACCAACACCAACTAAATCATCCCAGCCAGAGCTTTGTCAAGCCGGGCCTTAAAAACCTCTAAGGATGGCAATTCCACCACCTCCCTAGGTAACCCATTCCAGTGCTTCACCACCCTCCTAGTGAAATAGTGTTTCCCAATATCCAACCTAGACCTCTTGCACTGCAACTTGAGACCATTGCTTCTTGTTCTGTCATCTGCCACCCCTGAGAACAGCCGAGCTCCATCCTTTTTGGAATCCCCCTTCAGGTAGTTGAAAGCAGTTATCAAATCCCCCCTCACTTTTTTCTTCTGCAGACTAAACAAGCCCAGTTCCCTCAGCCTCTCCTCGCAAGTCATGTGCCCCAGCCCCCTGAGGGACTCATCATCCCTAAAAATTTTCCTGCAGCTTCTATTGGAAACAGTATTCCACTGAACCTCCTATCCTAAGTCATTGCACGGCACTGTTGTTGGTTTGTTAAACAGCTGTTGTGCCCCACCTCAGAGAAGGGTGCACTTTAGAAGAGTGCACTGGGGGTGATGAGTATGTGGAAAGTGAAAGGGATTTTAGCACTATAACATTATTCTGATTCCCTCTTCCCTTTCTCCAACTTTCTTTCCTTCCCTCACCCCAATCTCTTCTCTCCCTTCCTGTTGCTCAGGCCCAAAACTTCATTACCCACCTTGAGGGCCTGGAGGAACTGGTGCAGCTTACGACCCTGCATCTGCGTGACAACAGGCTTGAGACCCTGGATGGCTTCTCTAAGAGCATGAAGTGCCTGCAGTACCTCAATCTGCGGTGGGTCCTCCCCTGATCAACTTTGGCCCTGGAGACCCCTCTGGAGAGTACTGGGAACCCCCTGTGGGCAATGGGACTGCTCACCTCAAAACATGTCAAGTTAGCTGCTTTGGAGACACTAGTCTTCACCAGCAGGTGGGGCTGGGTTGGTCTTCCCAGCCCACTGATCTCTACGGCCCAGGCCAAGCCACCTTGATGGGCCCCAGTGCTCTGATTCCTCAACCACTTTTGGATGCCACTCTTTGCCACTGTGTTCCTTCAGAGAGATTGGCCCCTCCACATCCATCTCAGATCTCCCCTGCTGCACCTTATCCTCTTTGGTCCCTCTGCCCTCCCCCCTTCAGTACCCTGTTGATGACTGCAAATACCCTTTTCTCCTAGGTATTTGCTATACAGGGGAGGCAATGACACTGGCTGATCCAAAGGGCTGTCTGTACACAGAGGAGACACCTAAGGAAACCCAGACAGGGGAAGATCTTTCTTTTTGTCTCTCTCAGTTTGGGGAGCCCCAGGTGCTCAGGGCTGTTTGCTGATGAGTCCCTTTCAGTGGGTCATGTCTGTTCAGTCACTTTATTGTTATTTTCCTTGGGGGATCTCAATAAATAGAGTTATTCTCTCTCCCTGTTTCCCCCCACACACACACCACTCCTCTGCAGGGGGAACGGGATTCTGAACCTTCAGGAGATGGCAAAGCTGCAGGTTCTGCCCATGCTGCGGGCACTGGTGCTGATGGACAATCCCTGTTCTGATGAAGGTGAATACCGGATGGAGGCTCTGGTGCTGCTTCCCCGTCTTGAGCGTCTCGACAAGGATTTCTTTGAGGAAGATGAGCGGGCAGAGGCCGAGGAGACACGGCAGCGACGCCGGGATGAGGAACAGGTTAGAGCAGGGGATGCAGGGTGGGGGGCCAGGGCGGGAAGAGACTCGGAAAGGAGAAAGACTAGAGATTTTCAGTCTGAAGTCTTTTCTTTAGATTAAGGGGGAAAAAAGAAAGCCTAAAGTAGAGCCTCAGGAGAGAGTACAGTGTGTGAAACATCCTCTGAAACATGCTGCATCACATCTGCCATACAAAATGGCCTGAGCCATTAGCCTTAGCTAATGAAAGGGTCAGCATTGAGAAAACAGTCAGAACAATTATAGAGCCACCTACCCCACAAGGAGGAAAGAAAGCAACATCTGGAACCATCCTTGTTAACCTCTCCCTTTTCTTTTTTTCCCTCAGGAAATGGAGGAATCTGCCCAAGGGGAGGTGACTGAGTGACCCTCCAGTTGACCCTAGAGTCTCTCAGAACTCTGTGGGGCAGGAGTAGGTTGGCCAGGGAGCAGGACCAGTGTCTACGGCTCCATGTATTTGGCCCTCAGAGACCATTCCTTTGCCCACACTCCCTGTCTCTCCTGGGAGAAGTTGGTGTCAGACACCCCCCTGTGCTGCCCAAGGGAATGCAGCTCTATTGCAGTCAGTGCAGCACAGGCTCTGCTCCTCACAGGCCCAAGGAGAAGGAGGAACAGTTAAGGTTTGTGCAGTTTGAACTGTGGAGCCTGAAGCTCCTGCAATATTTTCTGCTTTGAATAAAAAGAATTAATGAATCTGGAGTGAGTGAAGTTGATTATCCTGGGCCCCTCTCCTCTCCTCTCCTTTTGTGTCTCTGGCTCGCTCTCTCCATCCCCTACGTGCTGTTTGCAAAGCTTCTTCTAAATCCTGACTCATCGCAGCTCTGGGTCACATGCTGCTGTCTCGGCCCTATCAGGGGCGTCTCCATCCTGCTGCTGCTGCCGCCGTTGGCTTAGAGGACACATCATCTCCCCTTGAGGTCCTGCTCCTACATCCTTCCTCAGCTCCATCCTCCTCCTCCTCCTTCCAGCAGCACTTTCTCAATCTCTTGCTCACACCTGCCTTAGGAAGGTAAGTGTCCCCCTCACATCCAACATCCCCCTTGTGCATTTCTACACTCCCCATCCTGGGGGGCCCCCAGCACCCCCCAGCATTTGGGTCCTTGGAGAAAGGGACCAGGCGGAGAGGCAAATAAACTAGCTAAACTCCCCTCACTTCCTCCTCCTGCTCTCCCCTCCCCCTGCATTCTCCCTCCTCTGCTTCTCTCCTTTCCTTCTTATTTTAATGTCATGCAATCTCCCCTGTCCTGCCCTTATCTGTGCTACATCACAAAGCTGCAGGACAACACAGCTGTGCCTCTCCATGGGGTATTTATTTGGGGAGGGCTCAACCACCAGAGGTAAGTTATGTTCCCAAGGGCACCCAAGGGAGATGCTGTGGCTTAGAGGCTTACTTGGGGGCAGCTGATTCCTGGTGTCTCTGAAAGAGCTTGGTGCTAGGAGGGGGACTAATCTGAGGTGCCGGTGAGCATCATTCATGTGGGAGGGAACCAGGAGGGACCAGCTTTGCTGAACCCTGGGATCAGGCTAGTTTCCTAGTCTAGCAGGGCGTTGGCAGCATCACAGAGCTGCCTCCCAAGGGGAGGGAGGGGAATTGCCTTGTACGACATCACATAGTTCACAGCCCCACACCCCACTGGGCGGCAGTGATGGGAAGAGATGGCAGCCAAGGAAGCACTAACTGCAGCAGCCACAGCACTGCAGCAGCGTGAGCTTCCTGGGAGCAGTGCCGAGCCTGGGGGAATTGCAGCAGTGCCAGCTGCCTTACAGCAGTGCCCTACCAGTGCGTTGTTGTAGAGGACTGCAGCAGGCTTGAGAACTGGGGAGGAGGATTGGGCAGTCCTTGCCACTGCCTGGCTTGGCAAGCGGGGGATGGAGGGATGCAGCAGTGTTAGCTTCTACAACACCATGCCCTGGCAGTGTGAACTTCCTTGAAGCAGTGCCAACCTGGGGGAAGTACAGCAGTGCAAGCCTCCTGCCAACGTTGCCCATTCCACCAGCCACCACTCCCTCTCCCAGCACTGTGTGATTGCTCCTTGTGGAAGCTATCCAGGCTTCCTCTCCCAAGGGCCTGTGCACCCTTCAGCCTGACGTCTGCCCTCTTCTTCTTGAGCTGCGTATGAGTTCCAGGCTGTGGCTCTATTCCAATCCCTTATCCCAGCTTATCCGTCTCTGACCTCCTTTCAGGACAGCACTGCTGCAGCCAGTGAGTTCCAGTGCGGCTCTTCCTCCATCTGGGGCCCTGGAGGTGGAGAACTGGACAGTGAGAGAGAGAGAGAGAAGCAAGGAAGGAAGGGTACAGAGGGGAGAGGAAAGAGGAACAGAGAGCGTGATGGGGCCATGGGGATGCAGCATGGCTGAGGTCTAGTTCCTTTGCTGTCCTTGGGCCAGCTGCTCAGTGGCCTTTGGAAGGATTGGGTAGAAGAGGAAAATTGACAGTCTGAAATGAAGCTGACAATGTTGCTGCTGAGGGGTTGGGAAATGTTTAGTCCAGTTCATGTCTCATCATCAGGAAACTCACACTTGTGGGGTCTGTCCCTCCTTGCCCTCTCCCTCCTTTATGTTGCCTGCTAGGGTACTGCCAGGGCACTGCCATGAGGGAAACGCACAACCGCAGGGCACTACCATGGGGGAAGCGCCTGTGGGGTCTGACAGACTGCGTGAGAAATTCGGCTTGCAGAGCAGCTGCTAGGGCAGCTGATGGGGATGCCAGCCCAGATGGTGGCTGTGAAGGGAGTTGCAAGGGGGAGAACAGCCCTGCGTGGGTGAGATTTCCCAGCATTGGAGATGTTTTCTGTAACAACACTGTGATTTCCAGACACCAGGGGAAGGGGCTTGAGACCAGCTCCTGCCCCCGGTATGGGCTGCTCCTGGTCTCCCCTCTGCTCCCTCCACCACATGCACTGCACACAGTCCCTGGTGAGGTGTAAATCTCTGCCCACCCCCATGCCACTGTGCCTTGTACTGGGCATTTGTCCCCTGCGCAAAGGCTTTGCAGGGCTCACCAACTGAGAATTGAGTTTCCCTGCTCTCAGCTTCGGATTGGGTTTAATATCTCCACTCAGAACTGGTTACCCCTGGGGGTGGGGAAGGGGGACTGAATCTGTGTGAGCAAGAGAGGAGGGGAGGGGTGATGAAGGAAAGAGGGAGGAAGCAATAAGGAGAGGCAGAGAAGGGAAGCGATAGGAACTGGGGGGATTCAAGGGGAAATGGCTGGGGGGGGGGGATGGTGCATTGAATTCTGCTACCGCTGCCCTAGGGTACCACTCCCTAGAGCAGGGGTGGGCAAACTACGGCCCAGGGGCCACGTCTGGCCCTTCAGATGTTTTAATCCAGCCCTCAAGCTCCTGCTGGGGAGCAGGGTTGGGGGCTTGCCCCGCTCCGTGCATGCCATGGCGCCACGTGGCTCCCGGAAGCACCAGCATGTCCCCCCTCCGTCTCCTCCGTCTCCTGACCCTGCCGCACGCTGACCCTGCCCCAAGCGACATCCCCGCAGCTCCCATTGGCCAGCAACTGCAACCAATGGGAGCTGCAGGAGCGGCATCTACGGACGGGGCAGCGCGCAGAACTGCCTGGCCGCACCTCAATGTAGGAGCTGGAGAGGGGACATGCCGCTGCTTCCTGGAGCTGCTTGAGATAAGTGCCACCTGGAACCTGAACCCCTGACCCCTTCCAGCACCCCAACCCCCTGCCCCAGCCCTGATCCCCCTCCCTCCCTCCAAACCCCTCGGTCCCACCCTCCTGCACCCCAGAGCCCGCACCGCCAGCTGGAACGCTTACCCTCCCACCCTCACCCCTGCCCCAGTCCGGAGCCCTCTCCCGCATGCTGAACTCTTCATTTCTGGCCCCACCCCATAGCCCGCACCCCAACTCCCAATTTTGTGAGCATTCTTGACCCGCCATACAATTTCCATCCCCAGATGTGGCCCTCAGGCCAAAAAGTTTGCCCACCCCTAGAGTTATTGCTAGGTACTTTGTCTGGCAGCCAATAGATGGGTGGCAGTTGGTTAGCTATGACCGAATCTTCAAACCTCCTCACCTCCCAACCCTCGCAATACAAGAGACCTCCATCCTCCCCCTCCCACCACACTCATTAGCATGACTTACATATAGAACTAAAGATTTAAAAGCTGGGACCAGCCCCATACCCCTCTTTCCTCCCCCTGGGCTGCAAGACAAGAGCATTCCTCTTAGTCCATTCCTGGGGCTCCATAGCGCCCACTTTCCCTAATGCTGGGGCTCCAGGCCCTTCCCTCGGGGAGATGGCTCCCCCTGGGCTCACAGACCCTTCCGTGCTAGGGCCCTGATTCCTGTGTTCCTTTGCCTTGTATCAGTCTCACCCTTTCCTTCCCTCGCCCCCCTCGCCCTCCCCAAGCAAAAGTGTGCAACCTGTGGACATTAAGGCTTTGAAATGTGACCCTCAAAGGTGACCGTAGGATAGAACAGTGTATTGGAATTTTAATGGCAAAGGTGCTCCCTGAGCTGTGCCCTGCGATTTAAAATTGCAGTGTTTGGATCAGCCCCACCACAAGAAACCAGGATCCAGAAGGAAGAGAGGTTAGGCTTTCCCTGGCTGCTTGCCTACTGCCTTGCAGTGGATGGAAGAGAGGAGCTCTGGTTGCTCCATTGCCTGTCTCCCTGCCAGGCTGTGGGTAACCCCGGGACAGCAGGATAGTGATGGGTGGCTCCCCTCCCCGATAGCCAGCCTAGGCAGCCCAAGCTGAGAACTACCAACCAATTACAGTGACTTGATTCTCTGTCCAAGTCTTGGTTAGAGCAGCCTGGGTGCTGGCCAGCTCCCAAAAGACCATATACCAGTGGAGATAGCTCCAGCATGCTCCAGCCATGCCCCTTCCCCCCATCCTGTCGTGCCTCCCCCCAGTGCCAGGGCCTCTGTGGAGGGAGATGTAGGTACCAGCTATGCCAATGCTACACCCACTGAGGCAGGGCAGTTCCCTTGTGCTGCCTGAGCATAAAAGGAGCAGAACATGGCAGAGATTGGTTGTGGCCCCCTGACCGTTTTGCAATATTGTGTTCAGACTTCAGGCTGAAAAGGTTGGACAATGTTGAACTAAACAACCCCATCCCCTGAGGAATTACACCTTCAGGCATTTGCCAGCAGTTCGCATGTCCTTCCCTTGGCCATGGCTTCCCGGAGCCAGGTGGGTTTAGCCTACCTGTGCCCAGAACCCAACCCCTGCGGCCCCAGAAGCGTTTCTCTGGCTTGTCTCCAATGTTGCATCTACACTTGGGACAGATTCCCAGCTCAGGTAGACACACACATGCCAGTTCTGCTCAAGCTAGTGTGCTAAAAATAGCAGTGTGGCCATGGTAGCATGAGCAGTTGCGAGTGATGGCCTGGATTAGCCAGGTCAAGTACAAATCTGCCCGGACCCTGAGGGTATGTACTTAGGTCAGCTAGCCTGTGCTGCTGCTCACCACTGCCCTTGCTACACCACTATTTTTAGTGCATCAGCTTGAGCATGTCTCTGTGAACTGGGAATCGCACCCCCAGCTCCAAGGGTACTCAGACATAGCCTAAGTTCCCTCCTGCCTGTCACTGTCTTTCTGGGAATGAAGGGCCCAGAGCTGAGCCCCGTATCCCAGATAGGATGTGAGGCCTCTGTGATGGAGAAACTCAGAATTGAGCCTCTTTCCTTGCTTCTCCTCCCCCCGCTGCCCATCTCCAACTCTTCTGCAGGAAAGATCAGGATCACCATGTCCATTGAAAAGATCCATGCCCGGGAGATCCTGGATTCCCGTGGGAATCCCACCGTTGAGGTGGATTTGTACACAGAAAAAGGTATGTGTGACAAGGTGGGAGGAGACTGAGCATGTCTGGACTGTCCAGCACTGGGAGGCAGTGGAATTAGTTCAGTCCTGTGGCAGCCAGCTAGGAAATAGCACCCACAATCTGGATAAGCTTTGTTTCTTCAGCAGCCAGGCATCTTCTCCTTGCAACACCTAGGACCTTGACCACTTAATTCCTGCTGGTGAATTTACAACTAAGAGAAGTTGGGTCCCAAAGTTGTAACCTTATCAAATGAGTGAATGCGTGAATGAGTTTGTGCTGATGAGTGTGTAGTGAGTGTGCATGTGTGTCTGTCACTGAGCTCCCAGAGAGGAGAAGGCACCTCCCATACAATTCATGTCCTCTGAGAGATCTTCTGTTAGCTGAGGCAGGAGAGGCCTGTGGTTTTGGAGCTGAAGGATCAGAGTTTGTGGCTGGATCCCTAGGTAGGGGTGTGTGATTTCTCTAGTGAATGTGTGCATGCTCTGCAGCATGAATATTCATTAGCCTCCAGGAGGTTTACAGTCCAAACAGTGTTGTGCTAGTACATGAGCACCAGAGTGAGATACTCACTGGAAACTGAAATGAAACTGTTGATTTCTGTGTGTACATGATGGGTTGTGCGTCTGTGTATACAGTAACAGCTATCTGTCCCTGAGTATGTTAGTGCATGCTTGTGTGCCTCCATGTCTGTACAATGTCACAGAGTTGGGTTTCTCTGTCTAGTAGGTATTTATAGAGTCTAGCTGTATCTTCAGGCACGTGCATGGTCATGGGCCTTGCATATTTATAGATTTATAATGTAGATTTATATGCATACATGTGCAAGTACTCCTGTGTGTTCATATCTGTGCACGTATCCATGTGTATCTGTGTTTATGTCAGGTTTCTGTCCGCTTCTAGAGCTGAATGTTTCATTCACTTCTTTATTCAATGAAATATCAAAAAAGGAGAAATTACCAGTCAGCCACCCTTCAAACTCAGACTCCCCTAGAAGGGGTGGAGACTAACGTGTTTGAGTATGAGACTGAGGAGCAGACCTCCTGGGTTCTAGCTCTAGTTCTGAGATGGAGTAGGATCAGGGCCGGTGCAACCCATTAGGCGACCTAGGCGGTTGCCTAGGACGCTAGCATTTGGGGGGCGGCATTTCGGGTCCTTCGGCGGCGACCGCGGCAGCCAGAGAGCTGCCACATGGCTCCCCGGGCCGGGGGGAGCTGCCGCGGTGGGGGCGCCTCAGGGCGGAGTGGGGGAGCTGCTGCAGGGGGGGGGGCGCCTCAGGGGGGGAGGGGGAGGCGGAGAGCTGCCACAGGGCTTGGGGAAGGGGGGGCGCAAGGTGGAAGTTTCGCCTAGGGCGCGAAACATCCTTGCACCCACTCTGAGTAGGATATAGTGGGTGCACCACAGGGAGGAGCTGGGAGTCAGGACACCTGGGTTGTCTACGTAGCTCTGCAACTGTCTCACTGTGTGACCTTGGGTGAGTCCTTTCCCCTCCTTGCGACACAGTTTCCCCACCTAGACTGTGGGGTAATGCCACTATCCAAATAGCTCGTGGGTTGTAAGTTACATTCAGGAGGATAGGCAAACAAGGGGTGCGCAGGGGCTTAGAAGCTTCCCTTTTTCTTCCTTCTTTGCTCTCTTTTCACACCTATGTTTTGCTTTTTCTCAGGCATGTTCCGTGCTGCAGTCCCTAGCGGTGCTTCCACTGGCATCTACGAAGCTCTGGAGCTGCGAGACAATGACAAGTTCAGATTCCTTGGAAAAGGTGGGGACATTTCAGCTCCTGCTCACCCTCACTGAACAGTCTCAGGCAACTTCGTAGCCCCAATGCTGTGTGTGTGCATGTGTGTCCATTCCTCTCAGGGCCTGATTCTGTACTCAGCACTCCCGGTTTTGTGCTGGTATAATTCCACTGACCTCAGTGGAGTCACACGAATATAAAGCTGGTGTGACTGAGTGGAGAATTAGGCTTTGAATCTGTCTGTCTCTGTCTCTTTCTTTGTCTAACTCGCTGTCTCTGTCTCTTCCCTTCTCTAGGGGTCCTGCAGGCCGTGGATCATATCAACAGCACTATCGCCCCAGCTCTCCTGGGCTCTGTAAGGATTTCCCTGTAATCTGCTTTCTGGGAGGTTTATTTTACTCTCTTGCTTTCTAATCTCTTTCTGCCTCTGTCTCTCTCTTCATTTTACCAACTGGGTTGGCACATTGCTGTTCCCTATGACTCCAGGCACACACTCTCACAGGTGTGTGTGTGTGTGTGTGTGTGTGTGTGTGTGTGTGTGTGCACACACTCTCACAGGTGTGTGTGTGTGTGTGTGCAATCGACAGGTCTCTGCTCCACTGGGTAGGTGGGGCTTTATTCCATATGGCCCTCCCCCATACTCCAATTATCATCTGATCTGGCACCTCTCCAGCTGCCCCTCATTGTAAGGCTCTCTCCCTCTTTCACACATGCACCTCTTGGAGCACTGCTCATTCCTCATCCAAATCCTCCATTCCTATTCCCATTAGTCTCATCCCCCCCCCCCCCCCCCCGGCCAGCCTGGCATTCACAATGCTCTGGCCTATGGATTTTGTTTGTGCAGAATCTTGAATTTCCCATGACGTGTTCCATGGCCTCATCAGGCAGTGACAGTGCTTTATGGCTGTAGGGCAGCCACTGTCCAGGTTTACTCAGGATCATCCCTTGTTTGAGGTAGCTGGCCTGGGACAGGGCCGGCTTTAGGCCAATTCAGCCGATTCCCCTGAATCGGGCCCCACGCCTAAGAGGGCCCCGTGCCCTTGCCACCGCCGGTACGCCATACTGGGGCGGCCTGGCTTCCCCAGGGGGCAATTTAAAGGGCTGGAGCCCCAGGCCCTTTAAATAGCCGAGGGAGCTCTTCCCCAGGGCTCCCTCGGCTATTTAAAGGGCCGGGGCGGTAGAAGCAGGGGAGCCCCGGGCCTTTTAAATAGCCCCCAGAGCCCTGGGGTAGCAGGTGGCTCCGGCAGCTATTTAAAGGGCCGGGGCTCCAGCTGCCTCTGCTGCCCCAGTCCTTTAAATAGCCGCGGGAGCCCCGCTGCTTCCCCAGGACTCCGGCAGCTATTTAAAGGGCCGGGGCGGTAGAAGCAGGGGAGCCCCTGCTCTGCCCGCAGCCAGCCGCTGCTGCACCCCCTGCCCACACCAGCCCCGCACCCCTTGCCCTGCCCACAGCCAGCCCCTGTCTCCAGCCAACCCCGCACCCCCTGCCCGCACCAGCCCCGCACCCCCTGCCCTGCCCACAGACAGCCCGTCTCCAGCCAGCCCCGCACCCCCTGCCCGCACCAGCCCCGGACCCCCTGCCCTGCCCGCAGCCAGCCCCTGCTGCACCCCCTGCCTGCACCAGCCCTGCACCCCTGCCCTGCCCGCAGCCAGCTCCTGTCTCCAGCCAGCCCCGCACCCCCTGCCCCCAGCCAGCCCCTGCTGCACCCCCTGCCCTGCCTCCAGCCCCGCATCCCCTGCCCTGCCCGCACCAGCCCGTCTCCAGCCAGCCCCGCACCCCCTGCCCTGCCCGCAGCCAACCCGTCCCCAGCCCGCCCCGCCCCCCCCGCCCGGCCCCCAGCCAGCCCCGCACCCCTTGCCCTACCTCCAGTCAGCCCCTGCCCTGCCCCTGCCCTGCCTCCAGCCAGCAATGTACGTAATATATAATTTTGTTTTTATTTATATAGTTATGGAAAGTAAATAATACATGGAAGAAATGAAAGGGGTTTTTTTACGTGTTTTTTTTTTTAGTCATCCCTGCCGGGGCCCCGCCGAAAATGTTTGAATTGGGCCCCGCACTTCCTAAAGCCGGCCCTGGCCTGGGAAATCTGTAAGAGGGCTCAATACACACTGCCAGCTGGCCAGTTTTATGGGCTCAGGATCTCCCATTTTTTTGTACCTTGGAGGTGAAAAAACCTATATGGCCCAGCCCGAGCCAGTTCCTCACAACCAGAGCAGAAGTGTGATGTATACTGAATCCATGTGCTACAGAAGTGCTATACAGTTACACACACAGCCCTCCCTTAGCTGAGCTTCTTTCCACACCTTCCCTTCTTAGCAGATGTGTCTTCTTGCAGGGCCTCTCTGTTGTGGATCAAGAGAAGATAGACAACCTCATGCTAGAGATGGATGGGACAGAAAATAAATGTAATTCCACTCTCCTTTGGCATGGGAAATAGAAATGTAGAGGTGTGTGAGGTGATACTGCAG